TGCTGATTAATCTCAGTGATTTTACATATTGTTTGTTTTAATCAGGAAAAAACTACACACATTATATTTTCTGTTCAGTCAGAGACAGTGACTTCATAAAGTCTCTCCCTCCCTCTTCCTGTTTCTGTTCTTTTGCTAAGCTAAGCTAAGCTAAGCTTACTTCATACTGGCCCTGGCTTTTTATAAAGCGTACAAACATGAAAGTAACTTCAATATTCTCATCTTGGTCTCTCAAGAAATAAAAATGAAATTTCCCCAAATGTTAACTTTTGCTGCTTACAGTCGTGACAGTGGAAGTTTTTTTTTGTGTATGAATAATGCTCTATAAATGAAATTGCCTTTGTGAATCCTGTAATTATTTGTATTCTTTATTATAAGGGTTTAAATTGCCATTATATTACCTTTTAATTACACATTTTAAAAGTATAAATTAGGTTACGTTGCTTTATACCTGGGGGGTTTTCTCATAGTCCTTTCTGAATTTTATCATTTCTTTTTTTACATCTGGCATTACCCTCAAAGTGTTTCAGTTTGTATTTGTCCTAAATGATAATGTCACTAACATTAATGACCTGATGGGTGTTTACATCTAAAGTTTAATGTAATTATCAAATGTCAGAAGAGGACAGGGTTGATAAGATCATACATTTTTCTATAATCTTCTGTGCAATAAGAGATGCAGAAAGTAGAGACAAGAAAACATGTTTATATTTTCATTTCAGTGTTCAGTGTTCCCTTTGTTATTTTTTTGTATTATATCTTTACTTTAATACAGTGTATAGCTTCTGTACAGTTTATTTTAATTCACTTAGCTGTTACTACAACTTGTTTATTTTTTTTATTTGTACTTTTCTACTCTTTTTTCTTATAATTCTATTTTATATATAATTTAAACTTTTGTGTAGAAGCTGACTCAGGGAGAAACACACAACAATTCCAATGTACCTGTACTGTCCTGTACCTGTGCAAATGGAAATAAACATCTATTCTATTCTATTCTATTCTATCCCGTTCATGTGTAACTTGCTCTTACCAGGGTCTTCCTCCTCTGCAAAAGCAACGATGTGAATGCCATCAATATCATCCTCCTGAGAGAAGAAGAATACAAGCAAGAGAATCATAGAAGAGAAGAAGACAAGAAGATGAAGAAGAAAAGAGAAGTGAAGAAGAAAGAAGTAAGAGAAGAGAGTAAGAAGAAAAAGAAGGAGAAAGACAAATTGAACGTAAAGTTACTGCAAGTGTCAGAGAAAACTAAATTTAAGTGTTGTGTATTTTAGCTTCCAAACAGTCATCACTCACCCAGGTCTCAAACATATCTTCTGCACGCAGTTTTCTCAGAGTTGGTCTAATGGCACAAAAAAAACAGTATGAGTTCTTTCCACAGAAAAAAAAATTGCATTACTTTGCAAAAAAATCAAATAGAACATAATAATAATACTTTATTTGTATAGCACTTTTCTATACAAGTAACAAAGTGCTTTACAACAGAAAATAAAAGCAGAGAGACAATTAAAGCAACAGGCAGAGAGTAAACAAGCAGACAACAAAATCAGACTAATAAAATAAAAATAAGAACAATTACCAAAATCACAGAGTAAAAGCATTTTTATAAAAGAATGTCTTGAGTAGGGATGTAAAACAAGGGACTGAATCTGCACGTCTGATCTCCTCTGGCAGGCTGTCCCAAAGTGTGGGGGCTCTAACAGCAAAGGCCCTGTCCCCTTTAGTTTTAAGCCTAACATCATTTCTCCTTGTTTACCGTCTGTGTTCAGTTATAAAGTCCACCAGCACCTCCTCGGAGTGAGGCCTGCCTGGGATGGTGACCGGCTCCTCCATGAAGGGCTCATAGAAATCCACCTCGTTCAGCCTCAGAGTCAGCTCTTTGGCCACCTGAGGAGACAAAAGAGGGGTCTCTCAAGAAAAACATCCCATTTCTACATTAGTCTGTTTATTTGTTTTGTTGCTACTTACAGATTTCTCAAATGTTGCAAAGAACTTGATGTAAGGCTGGAACTGCTCTGCTGCTTCTTTAAAGGCCTCGTAGTCTGAGGAGCAAAGAGAGAAAATAGATATTCAACACAGCAGTGGTTTACTGTGCTTTTGTTTTCATGATCACACATCTGTTTGTGCTTCTTTTGGTGGTGTGTATACATGACATTTGCACATCAGGGAGTGGAAATAGATGAGCTTTGACCTCCACTTAATCCTCCCACAGTTGGTCAGATGGGATTTTGCACTACTCTAAACTCTTCCACAGCATGTTGGGATTGAACATAGCAGTGGCAGCTGTGAGCATGCAGCAGTGGTAAAAATGGATCTGTAAATCCATGGAGATGAGGGGTTAAAATGCACTCCTGTTATAATGAAAGGGCATGAGCCACAGAGAGAGAGCGATCATCTAACAAGGTAGTGAGCGGCATTCAGACAGCACAAAAAAAACAAATCAGTTTTTACAATTCTACAATTCACTGAGCAGACTCTTTTATCCAAAGCGACGTTCATCAGAGAGTAAGAACAACACAAGCAAGGATCTAGAAAAAAGGGAACAATGTGAGTAAGAGCAAACGATCAGCTTTGAGTCTGATTGGACACACAGGTGCTGACAGGAAGTGACCAGAGGCAAAGCACAACATTGAGGGCAGTTCTTGAGAGCTCTAATCAGTATAGAAACCATCTTATAAGTCGTCGTTATCAAACAAAAACCATCGTCATTACCATCATCATCATCAATAATATGGAGACCATCATCATTAAGTTAGTAGGTATTCATAAAGAGCTGGGTCTTTAGCTTTTTCTTAAAGGTGCAGAGGGACTCTGCAGATCACATGGAGTTTGGAAGTTCATTCCACCACCGGGGGGCGACAGAGGAGAAGAGTCTAGTCAGCGTCTTAGGACCCTGTTGTGAAGGTTGGATCAGACGCCTTTCATTGGCAGAGTTTATTCAAACAGCCTCACACACTCACGCTCAGAGTCCTCGCTCTTGAAGTAACCAATGAGGCGGATGTCTTCCTCCATCCTGTCAAAGGCTCTCAGCTCCAGAGCGTTTCCTATCACCTCCACTGGTTCCTCCAACAGCTAGAGACGAACAGGAAGAGTAGAAAAGAGTACTGGGTATAGTTTTCTACTTGACTGGATTGGGAATCTGCCCCAAAAAATGTCCTTTACTCACATCCAACAAGAACTCCACCAGCGTGTTAGCTGACAGCAAGCCGTCAACTCGATCACACGGTTGGCCTTAAAAACGTAAACACTGCCCTCCTCCTCCAGGTCTGAGAGTCAGGGAACATATGATGAGATTCAAACATTGTTCTCTAATTATTTGACCCTCAACACATTCTGTGGTTGACCATATTCAAACAGCACCGATTTTACTCCAACATAATTGGATAGCTCAGATGCCATTCAGAGGTTGTTATTTGTTGGGAATATCACAAATCAGTATAATTTTACTGATTTAAATCAAATGAAAACATTTGAGGGTTATTGGCTCACACTTTTTGAATAAACCAACATTGGATAACTCACTAGCTACTGTTAGACAGAGACATGTCCAAACTTTTGACTGGAGTGACCTGAAGTGAAATGTGCGCACAAACACACACAAATAAATATCAATGATTTACCATTTTAACTTCACTAATCAACATGGCAACTTTAGCTTGATTATTGGATGACTATTTATTAACATACACGCTTTAAAATTCAGCGATCTAGTAGATCTAAAAACTGCTCAGATAATGTACAAAGCATAAAATCATTTGCTTCCCAACAGTATTCAGAGGTTTGTTTGAAACTAGAGAGAGCCGGTATGAACTAAGGGGAGCAGGTGTGTATAAAAAACCAAAGGTAAAAAAACAAAAGGTATTTCGATAAAAGGGGTTAACTTGTGGAATTAAGAATGTGTAGTTCACTTTCCAGATTTAAATTTTTGTTTTTAAAAAATGGTGTTTAACAAATCTAAAAGGTCGGTTTGATTGTTTTTTGTGAGTGTGACTTCTGTTTTGTTTTTTGTTTGTTTCATTTGTTTTGTTTTGAAATAAATTCTTGGAACAAAAAAGCATGCTGCCTGTAGACAAGCCCCTGCTATTAGCCAACAGCTAATGTTAGCATTTATTCAGGTTTTGGACAGAGTTAGTGCTAGCTAAGAAAGAGGCAGAAGGATAACACTTGTGTTTGGTTGTGTTTTGTCAGGGAAAAGAAAATGTGGAAATTTCTATCTTAAGTCAGGTTAGCAAGAAATGCCCTTCATACATGTAGCTAGCATAAGGAAGGAGCATGTTAAACGGTAGTATTAGCTATTTTTATGCCTATAGAAGGAAACACATTTTCTCGTTTTGTTGGAATAGCCTCAAAGATACAGATACGCCTCATTATACACAAACTCACCCAGCTTCTTTGCAACTTTTGCATCCTTGTGGGAGTCAACCGTTCCAAACCCGATGTCCTTCTCTTCCAGAACCTGAGCTGCAAGCTTTAGAGAAAAAGAACAGGAATGAACACAGACCATTTTACATGAAACTTTGAGAAACACATTTATTCTGGGTTCAGGGCACGAGAAACATTGTTCCTAGTTTAGTTTAGAAAAGGCTTCGGGGCGAGAGAGTGTGACGGCAGTACCAGGTAAGGTCTGGAGAAAAGAATGAACACCAAAGTTGGCAATATGAAAGAGGTGCTTAAGCTGGCCGGGGGCACCGGAGACACAGTTACATAACCACCCAGACTGCCTTGATCTAAATATAACCAAAGCAGAGGAATAATCATTCTGCCAATTGATCCGTGAAGTGCAGAAGGTGAGACTCACCCGCTGCTACATCTCCATGCTACGCTACTTCAAATATTATTATTCTGTTTTCATTGCATGGCAAAAAAAGCTCTGGAGGAATCAAATGAAAGGTATCCTGAAGAGTTCAGGTTGTAAGTGATGTTAATTAGAGTATCTGACTCATTCTTACACTTACCACTAAGAAACAAACATTACTGTTTGCTAGGAAGTGGCTTGAAACAGAACATCTTTGAGCGTTACATGATACAACAGGAGAAGGCCGACCTAAGCTTCTGTAGCTTTATGGCATCCAATCTAAAACAATGTCAGCAAAGACGCGGCTGAATGCTAACATTAGCTGGTCTAACTATAGCTACATATTCATTTATCTCATGAAAAACTTGTTGCAATACACAACATCACTACATCACTACATCACTACATCACTACATCACAACATCACAACATCACTACATCACTACATCACCACATCACTACATCACTACATCACTACATCACAACATCACTACATCACTACATCACTACATCACAACATCACTACATCACAACATCACTACATCACTACATCACTACATCACAACATCACTACATCACTACATCACAACATCACAACATCACTACATCACTACATCACAACATCACTACATCACTACATCACTACATCACTACATCACTACATCACAACATCACTACATCACTACATCACAACATCACAACATCACTACATCACTACATCACAACATCACTACATCACTACATCACAACATCACTACATCACTACATCACTACATCACAACATCACTACATCACAACATCACTACATCACTACATCACTACATCACTACATCACTACATCACAACATCACAACATCACAACATCACTACATCACTACATCACTACATCACTACATCACTACATCACAACATCACAACATCACTACATCACTACATCACTACATCACAACATCACTACATCACTACATCACAACATCACTACATCACTACATCACTACATCACTACATCACTACATCACTACATCACTACATCACTACATCACAACATCACTACATCACAACATCACTACATCACTACATCACAACATCACTACATCACTACATCACTACATCACTACATCACAACATCACTACATCACTACATCACTACATCACAACATCACTACATCACAACATCACAACATCACTACATCACTACATCACTACATCACAACATCACTACATCACTACATCACAACATCACTACATCACAACATCACAACATCACTACATCACTACATCACTACATCACAACATCACAACATCACTACATCACTACATCACTACATCACAACATCACTACATCACAACATCACTACATCACTACATCACTACATCACTACATCACAACATCACTACATCACAACATCACTACATCACAACATCACTACATCACTACATCACAACATCACTACATCACTACATCACTACATCACTACATCACTACATCACTACATCACAACATCACAACATCACAACATCACTACATCACTACATCACAACATCACTACATCACTACATCACAACATCACTACATCACTACATCACTACATCACTACATCACTACATCACTACATCACAACATCACAACATCACTACATCACCACATCACCACATCACAACATCACCACATCACCACATCACAACATCACTACATCACAACATCACTACATCACAACATCACTACATCACTACATCACTACATCACTACATCACTACATCACTACATCACTACATCACTACATCACTACATCACAACATCACTACATCACAACATCACTACATCACTACATCACAACATCACAACATCACAACATCACTACATCACTACATCACTACATCACAACATCACAACATCACAACATCACTACATCACTACATCACAACATCACAACATCACAACATCACAACATCACTACATCACTACATCACTACATCACTACATCACAACATCACTACATCACAACATCACTACATCACTACATCACTACATCACTACATCACTACATCACTACATCACTACATCACAACATCACTACATCACTACATCACTACATCACTACATCACTACATCACTATATCACTATATCACTACATCACAGTTTGAGTTTCACACTCTGACAGGGATGTCAGTGGAAAATGGCGGTAATATGGTTAGCGGCAAGGCTAAAAAAAAACTTGCTAGCACCAAGCGTTTACGTAAGCAATGGTTTAGATCTTTGTGTTTGGCCTGCTCGAAGCATCTTCACAGGGAAACTGAACACATTTTTCAGCCATTTAAACAGAATCAGCCACTGGTTGAAAACATATTCAGTGTGTTCAACAGGCCTTTTTCTTCCAGCACACACAGTAACTACGATCTGTTGTAGACTGAACGATCGGCTATAACATCTTCGAGGTACATTGTTTCCATGCCTGACACTATGCTAACACACGGCCCGGCTGTGTGTGTAAAATAAGAGAAGCTAATATCAGAACTGGGATCAGATTACCCTCGACACATCAGAGAGCCGCTCAGCTGTGTGTAACATGAGACAGGGCACGGTGCACAATGATTCCTACTGAGTATTTTAATTCATCTAACAATTAACAGCATATCCATCTGATTGGCTTAGCTGTTTTATTAGTTATTTAACTGCATAGACAAACAATATCCACTAAAATGATAAATCAATGACAATGTTTGTTCCCCTAACATGTAGGACTATTGCTAAAACATATAACACCCATGACTTTGTGGCCTGTTTCTGCAGGTCTGATTCATTACTTGTGTTTTACATGCACATTCATTAAATTCATTAAATAATACTAAGAGAGTTTCAATAGATCTCAACAGTTGCCCACCTAGTTATTGGAGTAAAAATGTACAATTACAATACATGATATATCATTAATTTACTGTTAGTTTCTGTCTCTTACAGCACTACTAAACCAAACTATTGCATCTTCTTATATCTCCTTTTTATTCCCTTTTATCTCATTTAATGACACCTTTATTTTCTTAACAATTTTCCTCCTATTCTGGTCTTTTCAGTCTTTCTGTCCCTATAATAACGTTTATTATAACCTTACTATAATCAGAATCAGAATCAGAATCGTTTTATATTGCCAAGTACATTTACACATACCAGGAATCTGACTTAACTTTAGCTTAACCATTCTCAATACTTCACCTCCAGAACCAGCTCAGTCATCTGGTGTCGTTTCTGCAGCTCCTTGCTGTCCGGTACAGGCTCGTGGTAGTACAGACAAAGCATGCTGTACTTCTTCAAGGCTTTCTTGTAGTTCTTGTCATTGACATCTAGGACGCGATCTTTCCCGTCGTACTGTGGGAACTCCAGGCCCTTTTCAGCCGGGGCCAGGGGCACGAGGCTCAGGCAAGGGAGCAGAAACAACCACAGGGAGAGCATGGTCCAGAACAAAAACCACACACCCCCCCAAAAAAATGAGTTAGGTTTAAGTTTCACAGAATGAAACAGTACAAGCAAAAAAGGTCACCTAAGCCCTGTGGAGGGCAGGGAAATGTAGGAAATCAGAGTTTTAGAGGTAAACGTTGGTCTGTCAGTTACAGTTCTTAAGCATCCCAAGCTTTGCAGAGTAATCCAATCTTTACAAGAATCCTCAGGACAACTCTTTCAACCACTCTGATCCCTCTTTCATGCCCTCTCTCTCCTCAGACACAAAGGCAAAAAGAGGAGCACGGCCGGCCCTGTGAGGTTCTGGGGTTGGTGGATACCATACATAGCAGCAGTCCTCTCTCACTTCCCGTGCAGGACAGGCCCATTTTTAGGAGACCAGTTGTTTAAGTGCTAAAAATAAATCTGCAAGCGAGAAAGAGAGATAGTAGAGGACAGTGGGGGTGTGTGTGTGTGTGTGTGTGTGTGTGTGTGTGTGTGTGTGTGTGTGTGTGTGTGTGTGTGTGTGGGGGGGGGGGGTGATAGAGAGTATTCAGTTCTTCAGTTCTTCCTCACAGACACATCACATTCCTTGTGATGTGTCTGTGAGGACGTCAGTGATGTGTGAGGAGGGAGCTGAGACACAGGTTATAATGGGTTAATGGGTTAAGTTATTTTGAGATGTGTGGGTATCGAGAAACACAGGGATGTGTGTTTTTGTGAGCAGAAGAATGGGGGTGTATTTTAAGTGACCGCTCATGGTGCCAACAGGTGTGTGAAGGGCATCTCAAATAATCTGAGTGTGTCGGTGGTTGTTCTGCAAAGTCATGTGCACAGTTCACACTGACAATCAAGTATTCCTACTTTTAAAGGCTTTATATGTGATTTTTTGATCCAGCAGATGTCGCCCTTGAGCACCAGCATGAAACCAAAACAACTCGTGCTGCATTGTTGTGTTAGCATGCTAATGCTAGTGATCTTTATTATGCTGGTATCTTCACACTGCATGTAAATTTACCTGAAATGAGCGTGATCTAGAAACACAGTTAAGCAGTGAGTACAGTATGTTATTCTTCTTTTCTCTCGTCCCTCAATTAAACAACTTTTATACACGAGGGGAGGAGTCAGCCGGCCGTCCGGGCGATGTAAACAAAGTGAAGATAGGACTCTGAAAACTCTGAAAACATCACAGACAGTGGGACTCGGGTGTTACACCCATTGTAGACAGTCATGACTCTCAGAGTTATTTTCAGAGGAGATACTTGATTTCTACATTTAAGTGTGAAAACTCACATTTAAAGACTTTAAGTAACAAAATGTATTTGGATATCTTTTGCTTTTGGTTCTAAAAACACCTCCCAAAACCTATACTTGAAATACAATACAATACAAATAAATATCTTGATCGTGTATTTTATATTTAATCTTCACAGACACCATAGTTAAACTTCTTTCATAGCAGCCCTAACCTGCCTTCCTCTTCAGTCTTCTTAATCTCCACTCTCTGCTTCAACTTGTTTTGCTGCTTTTGAAAGAGCCTCTTCTGCCCTCTGCAGGTAGAAATTGTGTCCTGCTGAATTTGTTGGAATCAAACTCGATTGAGAAGTTAATCCTTACTCTTGGTTTTTCTCACCATACAGTGTTAACTCGAGTTGCATTGCTGTCTTCTGGATCCAGACAGTGAAATGTGATCTTAAAAAGTAATTAAGCTTTAAAACACCCAAATCATTGGTGCCCAAAGTGATAACTGTTACAAAGTATTTCACCTGCTCAACCTTATCCAAGTGCAGACAACCACAAAAAGAACATTTCTTCAGCTTTTGTTCAATCTATCATCCTCCTGGCAACGTTTTCAAAGGCCGAGTCATTAAATCGCTCTGCAGATCAAAAACCTCTCACAGCCAACAAATCAAGAGGCAACGACAGAGAGCTCGACTGTTCAGAGTGAGAGGCAGAGTCATTAGTTCACACAGCAGACCACTGCTCAGGTTTACCTTTTTAATCTTTTCTGCTTGGCTGAACAGCAGGTCTAGAGAGTGTGTGTGTGTGTGTGTGTGTGTGTGTGTGTGTGTGTGTGTGTGTGTGTGTGTTTGTGTGTGTTTGTGTGCGGGGAGACTTTTCCTGTTTGGCACACAAATTCTTAATATTTCCTGCACTGATAAAGTCATTATAACATGTAATAAAAATATGCAAAAGCCAATAATGAGCCAAGAAATAGTCCGAAATAATTCAATATTTATCACAGTTGTTGAAGAAAGGCTGGCCAGTGTTTACTCACCTATAATTCCTTATATGTCCATACAGGTGGTGCACCAAACATGGGAACGTCAACGGCTGTTTTCTACAGCTTCCACTAGGTGGCGGTATAATGCAAAACATTTTGGACTAAACTTACATGCACCCCTATTTTTTTTCAAATATGATGAAGTAAATCATTAATACAAATGTTCCCACGTTATCAGTTTTAAATTATTTATTATTCTTAAGTGTGGAAAAGGCAAATATGTGATATTTGGTGAGGCAAATAATTGGAATTAGGGTCTTCATTTGAGGTGAAATGAGGTCAGTTTAAACCACAAAGCAGCAGCCTGAAGTCATTAGAAAACAATTGTCTTGCTCAATGACACTTAAGCAGAGTGTATGTTTGCTTACAAGATAAGATAATCCTTTATTTATCCCACAACGGGGAAATTTACGGTGTTACAGCAGCAAAGAGCAAAGACTGCAAACAAAGAGTGAACACAGTATAATTTAAATTTAAAAAAAAAATGTAATATGTACAAAAAATAGATAGATACCACAAAATAGATTTAAAAAAAATAGATTTAAAAAAACAAAATAGATCAGCTGAGCGCTGCAGTTTTGACAAAAATGTAGTCAGAATATTCAGTGTTGAAGAATGCTTGAAACTGGATCCTTCATTTGAGGGGGGGGGGGTATTGGGGGTCAAGGGGCATCTCCCCCCTCAGAGCCACAGAGCAATAGTGGATCGGATGATCCCCACCACCTCCTCCGATCATTCCCAGATCATTTATGTTTTTTCTCTGCGGCGCCGGTGGGTGGGCGCGATGTTAACTCTCTGCTGTAAAGTGAAACAAGAGAAAAAATGGAACACAGTGTACAAAGAGCACAGAGAAGAATGACAATAGACACTCACAGTTTAAGTCTGTAGTGGAGAGATCACATCACGGGGGGGGGACATCAAGACCCTAATGACCCTGTGTGTCTTCAGGACAATGTTGTATAATTTGTAAATGCAGGGCTCTGCTCATGCAACAAAAAAAAGGTTTGGGTAAGTGAAATCTTTTTTTTTGCATCTGCACATTGTCATGACTCTGTTTTTATTCCATCTGTTTCTCCACCTCTCTGATCAGCTTGGCATGTCTTCATAGTATCTCAGTTCAGTCAGAAATCTGAAGTTTCACAATGTGTTTAAAAGATGAAGAATGTCTCTATGGGCTAAACCATGTTACAACACTTGTGTTTGTGTGTGTGTGTGTGTGTGTGTGTGTGTGTGTGTGTGTGTGTGTGTGTGTGTGTGTGTGTGTGTGTGTGTGTGTGTGTGTGTGTGTGTGTGTGTGTGTGTGTGTGTGTGTGTGTGTGTGTGTGTATTGAAATGAACAGACACCAAAGGGGAGAAAACAATCTAATGCTCTCATAAGAAAAGACCAGATGATGTGGCATCAAAGTGAAGACTTTTTTGTCCTTCCCTAATTGTGTGTGAGGGTAAAATCACTCAGGTCAAGATGCTTTGGGTGGCTGAGTTATGAAAACCCAAGTGAGATGCAAAAATGTGCAATGTTTGCAGTATATGTGTAGCTGTAACTGGACTTTAAAAATGTATCTTCTTTACATGCACTCTGTGAGTAATTACACACATTAACATTTTTTCTCATAGTCCACTGCACAGCTCCTACATGTCACCTTTTGTACATTTTGTGGTTTTATATTTTATATTTTTAAATTCTATTTTATATATTGTAATATCTTCTTATTCTGGATTATTTAAGTTGTTGTTAGTTCTGCTTTATTTCCTTGTTAATTGTTTAGCACCAATACACCAAGTCAAATTCCTTGTATGTGTAAATGTACTTGGCAATAAACCCAGATTCTGATTCTGATTCTGATTCTGATTCTGATTCTGATCCTGATTCTGATCCTGATTCTGATTCTGATTCTGACTCTGATTCTGATTCTGATCCTGATTCTGTAGAGTTCAAAGTATGACAACACTGAAACACTTTGAGGTCCCATTTGTAGAGTTTGAAGAGGTGGGATGGCAACCCAAAAGGTATTCCTATTAATAGTTTATCTATAAAGGACCAGCCAATACTTTAATGATAAACACAGTTAGAACAAATGAACACCTTAAGATGGAAAACGTTTACCTTCAACATACTGATGTATCATGTGCTGGTACCTTTATTATGATATTTTTAAAGCACCTTTATTCTGTTTAGCTTACACTACTTCATTTGGATTCTCATAGTTTAAAACTTCATCAGAATCAGAATCAGAATCAGAATCAAAAATCAGAAACAAGGAAATAAAGCAGAACTAGCAACAACTTAAATAATACAGTATAAGAAGATATTACAATATATAAAATAGAATTTAAAAATGTAAAATATAAAAAACAGAAAATGTACAAAAGGTGCGATGTAGGAGCTGTGCAGTGGACTATGAGAAAAAAATAGTTAATGTGTGTAATGTGTTCATCATTATATTTGTAAAAAAAAAAAAAAGGGTCAAATGTAATGTCAAGTGAATCATTGTTCAAATATTTAATGTTTCTTACGTAAGACAACAGAATTCAAACTACAATGTCAGTTTGTGATTGAGGAAAAATAACTAAGGCCCTCACTCATTTGTGGTTGATCCAAAGTCCTTCAAAGGTCATCATGTAATACAACTCCCCAAAGGAAAGCAAAGCGATGACTGAGTTAATCAAAGGCCACCTGACATTTTCACAGTCCTGGTTTGATCCAGCGTCACCAGTCAGGGTCAGACCAGAACCACAACAGAACCCGTGAGGTGAGAATGACATATGGCAGTCAGTGAACCAGAAACCCCCCTTCTGGTCTCTAATGTTACATAAACTCTGAAATGCAGATTCCCACACAGCGACACTTTTACTTCTTACTGTCCTTTTATTTATGCTCTTTTCTTATCTCCTCTGATGTTTTAACTCTGTAATTTTTTATCTTACTTAATTTGTCTATTTATGTTTTATATGTATATATCCTTTTTATTATTATTAATATTATTGTTTTTTTGATAATTGATTCACTTGTTTCTCTTCCTGCTCTTACCTTCTTATTGCTGTTCTCTTTTGATTTGCTTTTATCTCTTTTAGTTTCTTACATCTTTTTAAATCTTTGGTTCCTCTTGGTCTCAGCTC